GATGGTCCATGTTTGAGACAGCAAATATGACAAGAGTATTTGAATGAAGCAGGAGTTACAGAAAAATAATACATTAGTGGATGCATCCATCTAATATTTTGACAGACCCTTCTCATAGTTTCCAGACTCACCTGGCAACTCCTAAGACATCCACACACATTCCTCTGCATGCCTGAAAATTCCCTCATTTAAATATTAAACATTTTTTTTTTCCTTATTCCAGTAAAGAAGCTAGGAATATGCAGAACAACACTTCTGTCCTTTGACAGGTCCACACAACCAGAAGGTGGATTTATGCACAGGTTCAGATCCCTCAACAAATGTTACAGTACAGATATTTCAAAAAAGTGCAAATTGAGGAAAAAACAGTACTGCATCAGCTTACCCTTTATATTACAGCCCCCATAGGGGAACTGGGAGACCTGAATTTAGTGCCCTCTTTAGCTCACAGTTCAAACCACATATCTTATGTCCCCAAAGAATGGCATTGCCTCCAATCAGACTCACTCAGCTCACTCGAAGGAAAACAAGGAGCATGCAGTTATTTAGTGATTACTTTGGTGAAATGAAACGAGATTTCTTGTATCTGATTTCTGTCCTCTACACTGAGGTTACTTTATGTTTTTAAAATTGAATACAAACACCTTCTATTTCTTCATTATGAATTCTGTATTCTACATAGTGTAAAATCCTCAACAGAAGGGACAAATATAAATCAATACTAAACCACTATAACCTCATGATGAAGGTATTTCTACAGAAAGATTTAATACTTCAGAGATCTCCAATGTAACCATTAGGACTATTCTCTATTCTTATCTAGACAGAGTCTCTAAACATTAGTTATATAGTGTCTTGCTTCTCATTGTCATACCCATTCCTAAACTCTGGGCATGTATGGCACAGGCTACATCACAACACTGGTGCCAGCAGTGTTCCTGCCTCAGCAAGGCAGCTGAAGAAGGCAGACTTATCCAACAAGTGTGACCTAACCACCAGCTTTAAAGGCTCGGTGGCTCCATCATTCAGCTGGATTTCATAACAGCTCCTCCTCTGCAAGGAGAAACCAAAATTAATTATCTCCTTAAGAACAGAAAGACATTCCTTCAGACTTCTAATGTAGTTTGAAATCACAGACAAGTAGGAGCAGCAATTCTGCATCACATATGATAGTTTAATTTACCTATATGATAGGCATCAGATGAATAAGTTCAGCTTCTGAGGGACTTTTTTAAAATGAAAATAAATTATCATGACTTTTCATAACAAGTCAAAAATATGCAATTATTTATCTACCTAGAGTGTTTTGTGGTTCCATAACAAATTCCTTCTGGCATGCATGCATTCATCATTAGCCATATTTTTAAATTACATTTTTTCTCCAGGATTTAAAATTAAAGTTGAACTTGCTGTTTTGTATTTTGAGAAATATTAAACTATGTTTAGATTCAAAAGCAGTCTTCATTTAAATAGAATATTTTATTGCATTATCAGTGTAAAAAAAACATAGTAATTAAAAAGTTCACAGATTAATTTCTTTTGAAAGAGTTTTTCATTTTAGAGTAGAAGTTTTGTGTAACAGTAGCCTCTTCTCTAGAAAGGAGGGCTTGTAAAGGGGTATCAGCACATTTTTTCTCAAAAGGACCAGTTCCACATTTGACACCTTAAACATGGGCTGTGATACAACGGTCATCAAATCAATTCATGCTGTCTATGACAGAAATAGCAAAAAGGCAGTGATGCTGAACTGATGTCTGCCTGCCATATCTGCCAGCAAACACTATATGTTTGTACGGGTTTGTTTGTTTTCCAAGGGCTAGCAATGTGTAGGAGGATCAGGATTAATCTTTATCTGTTTTTTGACTTGTACACTTGAAAATATCCTTTTGGAGATTGACATGCCTCTCTCCTCATATGTAGCTACTGCAGCACAAATAATTCTGGTACTGCAAGCTGATTCTCAGGTGCACATGATTGAGTGAAACACCCGCCACCATGGTATCAGGATCCATAGCAAAATGAAAAAGAAAAAAAAAAAAAAAGCAGATTTACTGGTTTGTTTTTTTTTCCAGAAGACAGGATAAATGGAATATAAGTATGTGCACAGCAAGGAATCACGCTGAAGAACTCGTAATTCTGTGTGCTGGGAAGAAAAGAGCAAGATTTGTATTGTTTTAAACACTGTTTAACATTCTTAGCTCTTGGACTTACTGTACAGAATGATGAAACTTCAACCATCAGTCAAGATAATGGGAGCAGAAGTATCTTCAAACCAGACCTCTCAAGAGAAAGAAGGATGGATTTGGCACCCACACACATCACACTGAAAAGATACAATCTGAAATCCCATCTTGTAACCCTGTTGCTTAATTGGTCCTCAGAGCCTGGTTTCCCATGCCCTGTCTTAGCCTCTATTTTTCTTGTTGCTGACTTGTGAGTTTTCATTTGTGCCATATCCCTGAAATAAATGCAACAAGCCTAGATAGTCTGTCAGAATAATTTGTTTATATTCCTTCTGAAGTCTGCCTGGAGAGCAGAATGCTCATTAAACAATTTTTCACACACTGATGATCCTTTTCTTCTTGTACTTTTTCTTTTCTTTAAGAATAGCTTTCTGAAAAAGAGATGGGTTTGAAAGTTAGTGCAACTAGTGAATAATATGAGTAAGTCAACAGGAAAGTAAAGATTTTTTTTTAATGCAGATTATTGATTTTTGGAATTGTAGGGGCTCCTTCAAACTCATTAGGGTTTGTCATGTGAATATGTTAGTAAGGACTTCTATAAATGAAGATTAATGATGCTAGGAATAATTAGTGCTGAAAAATCTCACATGTTTCTCAGTATTTGGAAACTCCATGCAAATGTGAACAGTGTCAAACAGTGCAAACATTCTCCTTCAATATACCTTAGCTCATTTTTGCCATGAGAGCAGGGGGAAGATTTTCTATGACACAATGGGAATTTAAACTCCCAGTATCTTTGGAAATCAATAGTAATTGAGCTGCATAACTCTGATTTTTGCTTTTTAAAAAAAACCCCAATATTGTGAGTGTAGCTGATTTACTAAATTCACAAGCCAAAATCTTTCTGAATATTTTTTCTTTCCAAAAGAAATTTAACAGGTAAAGTAGCTGCTTTTCCAAATTAAACACTCAAGTCATACTTCTCATTATTATTTTTTCCTGCAAGACTTCTTCATATATTTTCTTAAAGGCATGAAAAGATACAAGTTAAAGAAAAAGGACGTTTCTGTTAGCTTGCAGGAATTTAAAGAAGTCCCTACAGCTAATAATCTGATTTTTAAGGGGGGCCCATGCACTATTCTTTTTTATCTAAAAAAAAATTAAATTAAGTACCCCTTCAATTATCTCTGCTCTAAGGCTGAGGCTCAAACAATAAACACTGTCCAAATAATCAATGGTGTAGTTCTGCTAGGGTTTCACTTGCACAGAAAAGCTACAATTGGTGGTGGATGTTTTTATTCTCAATTATGAAGCACTAAATCCCAAAATAGTCCTTATGGTTATAATTTGTTTCTGTGAAATACATGGTGATAGGTTTTACTCATCAGTTTTATGAAAAGCATAGCAAGCATACTTTGGCAAAGTTTAAATTCTATAGAAGCAAACACAGCTTGACCAGCCCTTGCATATGGAATCAAAATGGTCTGGATATAGGATTTTTGGGTGTTTAAAGAGAAATAATCAAAGCAAAAGAATTTTGAATAAAGGCTAGGATATCTTGGTTCTTTTCCAGCAGACAACTAAACAGGGAAGCCACAGCAGAAATCAGTATTCTGGTTTGGAAAGGGAACGAGGCTGAGCAAAGGGTATTGGAACAGTTCTTGTCTGGCATGATGCCCACTTGTTGGCCTGCAGGACCACATCAGATTCTGTTTTGTCTGCAGTCAAATTGCAACTGGTATAAGACTTTGCAGAAAGTGTCTCTGCATCCTGAAATCTTTAATAAATGGGGCATTTTGAAGAAAGGTATCTTCACACAACAGAAAAATATCTAGCAGCTTGATATAGAAAAATACCTGCTCCTATAATAATCCTATCATCAGAGTGAACATTATAAAATGTACATGGAACCAGAGAAATAAACTAACTGAGTTTTTTTTAATCCTTCCTCTGGGTTTAACTCCTTAGATTGTGATAATGTTCATGTCTCACCCTTGCTTTACCAGGTTGTCAGAGCTGATTCTGATCTTGTTTAATCTGATAAATAGCCAACAGACACTATATGACAATGAGAAATGGAGTTCAAAATCCTGTTATACTGCAGATCACATTCCCAGTTATATTACCCTATGAGAAGGTATTAGTTTGTGAATCTGGAGAGCTTGTTCCTTATGTTAATGTTAACAGAAACACACATGCAAAAGAAAGACTTTTTTACAATATTAAATAATCTATCACAGCTTGTGCTGGTATGTATACATACACATTAAGGGCTGGAACGACCAAGAGGAAACAAATACCACATTGTCACAAACAGTTCCTGATCAGGTGTTAGGAGCAAAGCATAGAAATCAGTCAATTCTGCAAAGCAGCAGTCTTTTTTGATGATGCAGCAATCTCATTCAATACACATTACCCATGAAGTTAATCTTGGTAGATAACTGCACACAGAAGCATCATATAAGTTATTAGATATTATTTCTTTCTAGGGTTCATTCCAGGAATTCATTTGCATCATATATATCTGCTGATATAACTATTTTTATGAGACAAAAAGTATTCATTATCTTTTTTATTTTACCACATTTTTTAGCATTTTTTTCAGCTATACCATCACTACAAAATTACTTAAACTTTCAATAAATTAGTATAAGTCTATCAATTGAAAACTCTCACTCTTTGATACTGATTAGTGAACAAGTATCAGGAGACACAAATATACACGAGGATAAAAGGTCGCATAGACCAGACCCCTCTGAATTTGTTGATGGAGGCCACAGATAAAACAGTATGATAGAACAGAATACAATATCTTACCTTTATGATGATTTGCCCCAGATGCTAATTTCCCCCACAGAGTTACAACAACTATTATTATTAGCAGTTTTCCTTTTGTTGCTTTCTGTAAGTATCTCTTATTCATCCTGAAAAGAAAAATACACAAAAATAAATATTTATCTCAGGATTTCTTAAAAAGACATATTTTTTCTTAATTTAAGGAGAATTTACTAAGTTTTTAAGTGTCCAGCTCACAATCCTAAAGTCTTAAAGTCCTCTGCTTAGCTCTAAATGAGCATAGAGCAGCAACATAACCTCTCTCCCTGGTCTGACAGCATTCCTCCACCCTAGTCAGTACCAGGAAAATTCAACACCCATCATCATTTCTCTCAGGACATGAACAATGTTCATAACCACGGCAGACTCCAAAGCTGGTAAGCAGGATGAACCCATGCATCTCTGAGCAGGTTTTGGAAAACTTGGTCTTGAAAAACAGGTTTTAAGCAGTTCCACTACTGAGTCTGCAGCCAGTCATGGTAGTGCAGCTGTCTCTGATCATACAGTGGTGTTTTTAACTTTTGGGATTGCAGCTCTTTTTGGATTGTGCCCAGGAGTCCTAAGGCAATAGAAGATTTGAACAGACCTTCACCTCTTGTACCAATCCTCCTGCAGAGAAATCCTGTTAGGAAGACCTGAGTGGTTTGGAAACATGAAGTAGAGCAGGGCAGATTCACTACCTTCTCTTCTGTCTACCCTTGGGTAATGAAAAGATTTGATTTACTGCACCAAGGGAAATTGCACAGAGCTCCCTTCGTCTCACTCAGTGATGTTTTCACTTTGGCAGCAAGCCACCAGCCTGGTTCAAGCACGAGATAACATATGACTTATTTCTCAGTAACCTCCTCCAAAGACAAAATACCCCTCCACCTGCCAAAAAGACAAGTTCATACATGTAGGTCTAGTACTTAAGGATTACAATCGTGCAGAGGGTGGCAAGAGGTACAATATTGAGTCCTTCTCTCACTTCTTCCCTGTGGGTTCTTCCTAGGGAGCTGGCTATGAAACAGCTCTACATAATGGTCATGTTTCTGCTGATAGGTCAATAGAACAATGATAACTATTTCAAACCGTTTATACTAGAAAAGCTGAAAATTTGATCACTTGAACAAAATTGCTGAAGTATTGTAATGCCTGGAACAGTTTTTAGGTGGTTTTTCTGAGCAGGAAAAAATGCATTGCTTCATTATGGTCGCATATTTGTCTCCTATTATGTTCATAAGAAACCCAAAGGAATTCAAGTGCATTTCTTTTCCTCTGCTTGTGTACGCTGCTATCTTGAGCAACCACAACTCTGAAATGCAGACTGCTCTAATACTGCTATATGTTCAAAGTCCCAAATAATTTTCCACTTCCTCAAAACAATTCCTCTCTTTTCAGCAAATTTCTTTCAAATATAACACCACACACTGATTAGGCAACACACCCCACAACTCTACTTATGACTTCCAGACTTGAAAACAGACCATTTCCCCCAGAACTGCCAATCTTGCCCTCCAGGAGATTGATGAGCAGACTGTGTGTAAGAAAACATGACTGAAACTAACAACCCACTGAAGAGTGCACCAAATCCTTTTAAACATGAATTCAGAGCAAACAGAACTCAGCATTCTTTTACAGAATTCACACATTCATTATGTGTTTCCCAGAGGTTTAGATATCATATTTATCAGGCAAAAGGAGAGAGGAGTAAGCAAGTGCTGTAGCCAGGATGGTGCATGTGCCCCTGAAAGCCTGACTAATACTCACAGCAGAGATCACAGTGTGCTGTGAACCATTCTAAGGTCTGCCTTCTTGCACTGATTCCAGTGCCTTTGGAGTGTAAAATGCATTTCATCATCAACTCCAGTTTTATGAACCACTCAAAGCTAAAGGGAAATACATTATTTGTCACAGTAAATACTAACAAAAAAATGAGACTGGAATGCACATTCAGCATATGCTCTTTCACGGTTATCTCTGTGAAAAGAATATGAATTAACTCTTTCACTCTAGATTCTCATACTGCACCTGTTATTCTGCTGGTGCGAAGTCATCTCTCATTAAAATCAAATCTTTCTTTCTCACCTACATAACTGCTCAAAACCCAGTGGGACTTGCACCATTAAAGCAAAGCTGAATCTAATACAGTTTCTGCCTGTATTCTGCTGATGCCAGATTCTCTCACTGTGCTGCAAGACTGGCAGCAAATGCACATCAGAAAATGCAAATGCATCAGGAAAAACAGTTGTGGCAGGGGAGAGAAAACCAACCCCTCTGCCTGAGAAAGCAGCAGCCCTCAGGATGCATGGCAGAGTGAAGACAGAAACCCTTGCACACAGCTAGCTGAGCACACCAAAAAGGAGTAAGCTAGCACTGAGTTAGATTGTTTTCTGCAAAGTCAGGGAAGGGTTTCAGCTTTGACACAGAAAATCTGGGCTCATTGCCATTACCAGGTTTCACAATCATGAGAAAAACTATGCACCGTTTTCTGCACCACAATGCTATTACATAATTCTGCACTAGTTATTTGTGGGATTTGCCTTTAGAAGGACAAAAATCTGAACTGTGTCTAATAGTAGTCCCATAATAGACATAATTAACAGAAAAATCAGTGCAAGGAGCAGTTCTAGTTTGAGACTAATAGTTCAGAGGCCACCAGAAAAACTGTGGGAAAAACCTGATGAAGTTAAAGCATTAATAACATACAGCTGCTCAAATAGAAGAAACTGGAAGATGATGTTAGCCTCAAAGAAATTATGCTATATAACCCTAGACCCAGATCTGTGGTTTTGTGCATTGTCACTCACAGTGGTCAGTCCAAGGACAGACAAGAGGCTGCATAAGCACAAACAAGATGTGAACCTCTCTGCTCCGAGCAGTCCTGCTACACACAAGGACCACACTGCAGCAATACAGCCCTAGAAACAAAAAACAAAGAGGTTGTAGTCCAAGAAGCTGAGAGGTTGGGATGGATGCACATCATTGACAAAGTGAGTCAAGAGCTAGAAAAGAAGGAGAGGACAGAGAAGCCATGAGATATGCTCAGTATCTCACTTCGTGCATTATCACATGGGCTCTGAAGCCCTGATGCTGGTTATTTTGTCATGGATTTGCAAAACAGCCCATGATAAAGCACTGAGAAGACACTAGGACTAGATAGCATTTGACATCAGCTCTGAAACAGCTATTAGCCTCTTGCAACCCTGATCTATGTTGAGTAAGCACATCCAGGAAATAAAATTGAGTTTATTTCAGTACTGTTATTACACTAACATAACTGACCGTGTTAAGCAGGACAAATAAGCTCTGAAATGATGTCTGCTTTTACTAGAGGTGATGCAAAACTCCACAGACAAACTATAGATATTAACTTGAACAGTTTTCTTTTTGAGACATTTATTCTTTTATTTACTTTCTTTTCTGCGGAACCTCTCTCTCACTGTGATCCTTCCAGCCTTCAATAATGCCACATAAGCCAAAGCTGATCAAAACAGAGACCAGCTATGCTAGAGAAAACACCCACATCTGAAAATCAATTTTACACGAGCTTTATGCGTAACAAAAAATTTCCTTCCATTTCTAACTCAACATATTGGAAATAAGCCCAAGAAATTCTCTGTGCTTTCACACAAAGAAGGACATGAAAGTCTGCTGTGTTTGAGTTCATTTTTCTACGTGCTTTGAGGCAAGAAAAAAGAAAGATAGCTCCTTTTATGGTCCAGGTACACATTCAAAATATAACAAAAATATGTCACCCACATGATTCAAACAGGCAGTGGCAGAGTGTGAGATGGCTCTGTTGTGCCCAGCTCTTCACTGACACCATAACACTAGGAATACATTCATAGGATTTGTTACTTTTGCTCCCAAAGATTTATTTTGCCTGAAGCACACTCCATGAGACCAACACCAGTCCAGTATCATGAACTCAAGAATAGACTGTTTTGGTGATTTGTGACAAAAAACTGCAAGACTTTTTTCTCAGGGAGAAACCATATCTGATGCTGCAGAGTTTCACAAGCTGCCACGTCAGCAGAAATCCCTCTGCCTGACCTCTGTGGCTCAATAACAGCAAACTGTGAATACACTCCAGTGTTGCACAGGCTCTCCTAGTCACTGCTCCACCTCACTGTCAACCCACTTTCAACAGCAGATGGGGTCCATTCAGCTGTACTGAAAATGCCATGTAAAGATGTGTATTTTCAAGGTAGCACCCATAAGCTTTTGCGCCAACAGTTCAGAATTAAAGAAGAATCACATGGGAATGACCTTATATTATGTGCTGTACTGACCAGTGCTAAACTGCCTTGCTTTCTGATTCTCAGTGAAGTACAAACTCATGTCATGGTTGTTGTTGAAGAAAAAAAAAATGTAAGGAAAAAATAGTTTTTATTCTTCCTTTAAAAGCTTATACACAAATAAAATTCTCATCTGTTTCCTGGGAGTAACAGCATTTTTCTCTGTTGCCCCTTGTTTTTCTTTTCTTTACAAACAACAGATTCTCGGAAGTTGTTCAAAATTCATTTGTTTCTGCTGTTCATATGTGGGAAGTTTCACTGTCAGTAAGGTCCATTTGTCTTTTGCAAATACACAGACCCTGTGAATGCCAGTTCTCGCAAAGAGATACATAAGACTATTTCTCTACTGAATCATGAAAAAATGCTTAAGAGAGAAAAATCTAATGGAAAATGAGTCCCACATCCTCTTAGTTTTCTTTTTATGACAAATATTTTATTTGCTACTTCAGAGAAAGCCTAAATGAGTAGTAGAAAACACTTGAGACCCCAAGTCTCTTGTACAGAAATAATGCTGCCATTTAAATTATCTTCTCTACTTCGTTAAATCGTACATTATTTGTTAGTTGTGTTAGTTGTTACATCCCACACAATGCAGGTATTTGCAGTTTTATTCAGCCTTTCCTGTGTAGACTAATGCAGATTTAAAAATGCCCCCCTGGTGAACAAGGTCGCTTTGTAAAAATAACACCAATGTGACCCCTGTGCATCTTCATATATATAAATTCCCTCTGTGTACACACACTTAAGTGAGCTAGGAAAAAAACAGTCTGGAAAATCTTCCAGGCGGGAGCTTCTCAGCTCCATTTTCA